TATAATATCATGAATATTTATTGTTAGAGAAATTTTATAATAGATTATGGAAAGTAATAAATGGGTTTATTTAAATTGTAAAGTATTTATATAGTTAGAGAAATATAAGGAAAGACTAACAATGTTAATCTAATGAAAGGGTCCAAACAACTTTTTTAAGTAGATTTATTTAGACTCCTTCTCTTTTAATAGTATAGATAACATAGGTAAATTTAATATTATTCCTAGTTGAGGGTAAATTAAAATTTTCAAAAGAAAAATATAATATATATTTTTTTCTTTCAATTATTTGTTTACCGGTCAGTAGGATGGGTTAAACCAAGATGAACATGTATGTTAATATAGAGAATTACAATAAAGATGCTTCTGAATACAATATTTTGATTATAACATTTTTGGAAACGTTTTCTTATATTATCAAAACTTCAACAATCAGACTATGAAGAAAGCATATGACCAATGATAAATCGATAATGAAGAACATGCAAACACGTTTCATTGCCAGTTTACACAACGAAGTAGCCTAAACTAAGATATACAAAAAAAAAAATGTTTACATCCCTTATATATTAAAAGAGAAGCATTTTAATAAATGTGTTTATACCTTAATTGACACGAATTGGCCTCACAATTATTTGGAAATTAATACGTTCATACACTAATTTTTTTTAAATTCATCATTTAATGTGTTTACACACAAATTTTTAATTAATTCATTTTTCTTACATTTTAGCATTTTTATTAATAAATTAAAATTTTCTACGTGAAACTAATGAATAATATCTATGTTGTAAAAAAATTACAAAATCATTCAGATTCGCATCAACTAAAATGTTGCGATGAAAATGTTTGTAGATATTGAAAGTTTCGTACCTTGCCAAAATTGGTCATGGTTGAGGCTTCGGTATACTATAACAACAACTACGGTGATTGATTATGAATTAAAGACACTGAAGTGAAAAACACTACACGTAAAGTCAGATCTTTAGTTTAGTCAAATATTAACATTTTTATAAATTTTTTCATATCAGACCAAGAATTAGAAATAAAATCAAATTGGTAGAAAAAAAAATCAGAAATAAAAAAGATTTAAAAAGAAAAAAAAATCACAAAATCGATTAAAAACAGAATTCATGTCCCAAGTGAAGATGTCACTGTGTAATATATATTATTTATATTGTTTACGGGTAAAATTGATTTTCTTCATATGAAAAAAATGTTATTAATTTTTGAGGTTTGTTTTATTTTTACTTAATTTTATTTCAGAATTTACTATCATGTGTTATTTTGAACAAAAGTGTTTTCAATCTTAATTAATGGTATATTCATATATTTATCATCACATTTATATACTTTTACATATACATGCATGTACACATTAGCGACTATATAACTAAATATTCACCACAAGTGAGAATTTTAATTCTTATTTAAATTGAATTTTTTTTTAATGTTTTCTTTCACTATCGTTCAAATTGTAGCGAAATGTTTTGTGTTAATAATTTTATTTTCTTTTTTTTTCTTCAAATATTATTTAGATTTTATATAATTTTACATATCTTTGGAAATTATAATAGGAAACTATTAGTTCGACATAAAAAATGTCTAATATTTATATAAAACAAAACCAAACAGATAAAAATAGTTTTTGGTTATCATCGAAAAAATTAAAAACATCAAATATTTAAACCAAACAATCCAAAATAAATATAGATTGAGAGTTCTAGTTATATTTTAGGACATTAAAAACAACGTAAAATTGTACTAATATCTATGCTAGACAGACATAATATTATTTCTTATCTTAAAAGTAACAAAAATAATAATCTCATCTCGCGCAAGGCGCGGGTTATTAGCTAATATAAAATAAACGGTCAACACTAAAATCCCCTATATATTAATTGATAAACATTTGAAAAGTTATAAACTTAAGTTTGTATTAATTAAAAAATAACCTCATCCTATATGGCACTTCTCTACGCCTTCTATTTTAATAAAGGATTCTAGAACACCTCATATTAAGTATAATTTTGAAACATGGTCCGTTGGTTTCATATAAGACATATCAAACTAAATAGCATATCAAATTAAATCTTCTATATATTCTTTCGTTAAATAAAACCTACGGAATTACCTAATATGATTAAGATTTATATGACTAATAATGATGTTAAATAATAAAGATTTGTTAACAGTATGTATATTTTATATCATTTTTGTTTAATTTTTTATTATTAAAATAAATTACACAACTACACTAATCATATAAGAAAAATTTAGATTTTTTATGTATGTTGTTTTTTGAAATTGTGAAAACGAGTATAAATTACTAAAACTATCAAAAATCTCACATAAACTTTTTTGATCAAGGTCTACTTTTTTTATAATAAGTTACAATAATTATAAGATCATATGATAAATAACTTTATTTTAATAGGTATTTATGTTAAGATATATATATATATATATATATATATATATATATATATATATATATATATATATATATATATATATATATATATCTCATATCGTATGAATAAATAATATTATTTTAAACATAATTATAATTTAAAATTTATCTTAATTTTTCTATAAAATTATTTTTTATTTATAAAAGGTTTTAAAATACAATTTTATGATATTATTAGATAAATAAATAAATAAATAAATTAAATTAGATTTGAAACTTTATATATTCTAAATGGAAACATTCTACCAACTGCTTTTATTTCAACTGCTTTTATTTTTCTTCACTCGAACACTGAAAAATGTGAAAAGATATATTAACCTGGCCCATTAAATTCTATGTTTTTATCTACAGTTCTAGTAAAAATTGTTTCTGATCCTACGTATATATAATTATATAAAAACTCTAAAACTCCAAATACATATAAAAAAATCGTATGTAAATTTTAAATTTATCAATACTAAAATTTTAAATTTTAATTATTTACACTTATCATACGAAAAATGCAGGTTTTATCCTAGTAAATGTGAATTTTTATGATTGTCTACAAGATCTGAGCCTTGAACCGTAATTTTTGAAAGATCATAGTTTTTCAGGTAAATAAGTTATATATATATATATACATATTTTATGTAGTATAAATAAACTATTATATTATTTACTTTTGGCAGATCATAGTTTTGATTTCAGTTGATCTTCTCATCTCTCAACACCAAATTGGTGGCATGCACTTCTAGACTGAACCAAACCAAATAAATATACTTTTAGATATAATTTTACTAGATAAAAATATATATAATTTTTTAAATAAAAATAATTCAATTATGAATATAAAATATAAAATCTAATAATTTATTTGTACTATATAAAATTTAAATATATATAAAATTAATTTTAATTTTAATAGAATCATATGTTTACATATAATTTTATCAAAATTTATTATCTTATCAATTTGTTTCATATATATTGAACCGCTCTAACTTGAAACCGGAAAAAATATTATTTAATGGTGTTTATTAATATACCAACAAAAAATTAATTTATGGAGTTTCTACTATATTTGCTAAGTTTTCTGTGAAAATTTGTATACTCTTAATTGTGTAATTTTTCAGAAGTGACTACATGATTTATCACATTTTATGTAAA